CTAAAGGCTTGTTTTTAGCATTTTGTGAGGTGATTTTGATGATGTCATCTTGGTAGAACTGTGTAGGACAAAGCGAGGTTACTACAGCATTGTTTATGAGTGAAAATGTATTTTATTGAGACGCATCATTGTTTATTCTGTTTATAAATATGCTAATGTCATTGCRGGCAACAACATTTAATCATCTATGACTTTGAAACAGTTTCTTTAAGTCTGTGTCATGATGAGTTCTTGTTAGCTGACACATGGAAAGGTTAGGAGGCTTTATCCACTACATGCAAACCTAATGGTTATTATTCAGCCAAAAGCAAGGAAGTTAAACATTAATGTGGCCTACTCTTGTTGGTCACACAGACAGGAAATAAGAAAAGTGATCATGGTAGTGGTTTGAGTATCCACATAAATTATAACATCGTGATTTGACGCTGATTGGTGAGGACACAGGATGCAGCACAAAAACAAAACCGGCATGCAATGTTCTGAAAATGAAAACCTGTTTCTGATCATTTTGGTCACTGCCTGGTTATTTTAACTTAAGACCACATCATAAAGTCACTGATGTATTCTGGCTGATTTACTTTTCCAATTTAACATCTAAGGTTGGCGGTGGAGAGCAGACTGCAATCAATGGAGTTTTGTGATTACTTTTATTTATGATAATTAAACTTGTGCGAAGTATTTGTGTTTAGTGGCATTGATTGGTGCAGTGATCATAATTTAAGCTGGACTGTGGGCTGATTTTATTTTTACCAGCAGCACAAGTGAGCCAAACAAAGTGTTAGAAACAGACAAAAATTTAGAAGTGTTGCTTAAATGAATGTCGCTGAGAAAGTTTTGCTATTTTATCATCTCAACTGTATATGTTTTGGAATAATAAAGCTCTAACATAATGAAGATTTTACAGACAAAACACGTTTTTTAAAAGACAAAGTAAATCACTCAAAATTCCAAATTTTCCATAAAATAACAGATTACCAAACAAGATCTTCAAATCCTGGGCTGCAGTCACATGACTCGGATGACTCCCAAAATTCAGAGGGCGGGGAGGAAATGGATCAAAATGGATCACAGCAAGTATGCTAATCCCCTAAATGGGCTGGCGCAGATGAGATATCACGAAAAAAATGCATGCATTGATCCATATTGTCTTAATAAAAAAAAAAAGACTTGTCATTTAATCTGGAGGATTTACCTGGTGTCGAGGCGACTGACAACTATCTGATGCTGCAGACCTTGTATTATACGACGAGCCAGATGAAAGCTTTCAAAAGCCTCGAAGCTTACAACTATTTTGTTTCAGGTTGGATCAACCATTTAGGATCCAAAGAAGCTTGAAATGGCCGTCAAATTGTTTCTGGCCGGGTGAGTGTTGAGTTGTGCTATTTTCAGTAATTATCGTTAACGAATTAACCCGTTATTTCTGTTATATGCTTGAATCTACTTGTCATTAAGTTATTTATATTCTGTAAACCCAAATTCGAATAACTATGCAATAAAATATCTGAAAATACGATTTAAACAATACAATCTCCTGTTAGAAAGTGGTTGCTGCAAACTCTTGCATTGTTGTCAGTTTCCACAACTCACGTTTTTAGCCGTCGATTGATCCACTTTTGTCGTCTTTTTTTCTGACATTACTTTCGGAACACGAAAAACACCATATTTCCCTTGATTGGAGTGGTTGCAACAACCGTACGTCAATACTACGTATGTCATCAGCAGCCCAACAATGGGATTATATTTGGAATATACAATACATCAATACGTCTTACTAACTTACTTTTAATGATTTTGGATAGAATAGCATATTAGCTTTAGATGGGTGCAAACTTCGCAATGGTAAAGAGGAACATAATGTGGATGTAAATCGATAAATGAAAGTAATTACATTTATTAGTTATTGCATATTTAGCTTTTCATGTGGATTCACTTGTTTGAGATCGTAGTCCTTCTTTGGTRAACAACTTCATAAAATATAACTAAATACCGGTAATCACAATCTTAAGGTTTTTTTAAGGGATGCAAATACAGAAAAATTATTTATTTTTGTGTATTTGAACATTTTTTGTTGTTACACAAAGGCCTCATAAACAAAAACCTTATTACAATCATGGAAGGGCTGGGCAAAATCGTATCATGTGCAATTAATTGTCAATAAAACTCAATTTTTGCCACTTTGCAGTTACTGTAATTAGTGCCATGTGATGACGTATTTTTGCGTACAACGCACTGTCACTATCAGGCACGCATGTGAACCTGAGCTCAATGGTGCAAAGCTGCGTGGAGCAGCTGACACTAACCCTACGAACTTGTTTAAATCACCTAAAAACACCTACATAAACTGGAGTAAGAGGAAAGCCAGAAAATGTGGACAAAGGCCATGTCATTGGCCACGTGCAAATGTCCTCTATTAAGWCATATTAATCGTTACCGGCTAAATGCCACAATTAATCAAGTCGTGGTGATATTTAAAATAACCAAATAAAATAAATTTAACAAAACAAGCAGACAGTGTTTTTAAATCTAACAATCATGCTTTGAAGTGTATTTTTGGAAAGAATGGAACGAAATGAAATGAAATGGACTTTGCCTTTGGAGTCCGTCCTGAAAATTGCAAGCAAGTTTGAACCATTTCAAAAGTAAAGAGAGTAACACGCCTTTCTGGTCATGCTTTACTCTGACTACAGCTTCACAGAGTTTCCTGGGATTTGGCATGCAGTAGCTGAATTAATGCCAGCCTGTCTAGTCCTGACATACTGGGCAGCCAGACATGAACAGACATCAAATGCAGCACAGCGCTGAGAAATCAACTCTTGTTTTGATTGCAGTTGGAGCTAAACAACAATCTGTGCACCCCTGTTGCGGTGGCATCACTCTCTCACAATGTCTAGTGTTTTCCCTGCTGCATTAAAATTAAATGACAAGACAGAATGGGGATGACACATGCAAAGCTTTATGGGTCATGCATTTATCAAACGTTCCCACCGTGCCAACAAGCGACGTTTGATTTTGTTTGAGGCAGACTATACTTCACTCCAACCTAAAACTGAAAGCGTTTGGCAGACAAAAGCAATAGCTGCTCACATAACAACAGCAGAAGTTTAGCTATCAGCTTTCCCTTCTGGGATATGGAATGTGAGAGACCCAAACGGCTCATGGTGTTCAGAGATTAGGTCCTTCAATGCTTGGGCAACAGATCGATAAGGTGTGTGTTGAACTTGAGCCTTGTAGCACTCTGCTTTCAAAACATTGTCAACTATTCATGAGGCTGTTGGTGAATTACAAAATTTCTGGGGCCACTGGTTGCTTCAATGACCAGGTCTGCATGCATTATTAATGGAGGTGCAAAGTTTGATAGATTTGAATAATAGAAACCTAATTTCAAGAATTATGTCATTGTACTGGTAAGCAAATGTCTGCATAGAATTGTTCAGTTTAAAAACACAAAACCAGTTTCAGGACTTGTGGTTGGTATTTGGGTCATGCTTACATTTTTTTGTTCCCTAATTTGTTTATCCTCTGAAAAAAGCTCATTCCAGTAGAACATGGAGCTTTTACTCAGTGCTGCCTCAGACTGCTGCTTCATGTTTTCTGTACTCTACCTTTCCTTTAAAGGCTTTTAAAGCCTCCTAATGAGATTAATTAAACCAGTCCAGAGTTTGTTTAATGAGATTCTAATGGCCTGAAGCACGGAAAAGAACTAAAGGCTAGTAAACAGGAGCTTCACATTCCAAAAACAAGAGACCAAAGGTTTAAAGGAAGCTTTGAAAATCAGGATTTAGACAGCTAAACTTTAAGTGGTGATAATCTTTTTAGCTACCAAGCAGGACGGTACTTTATGAGATTGGGTAATCAGTAAAGAAAGAAAAGTGAAAAATAAGCATTACTGTTTGCACTCGAGAATTGGACAAATGACATCCCTCAAGAAATCAAGAGGACACAAAGGAGATGTTAATAAAGAATGACAGAAAAAGGGAGAAAGTAATGTGTCCTGACAGAAGAGATCRGTGAAAAGAAAAGACAACGGAGCTTCCTGATTCTAAAGTTCTCAGCTGTTKTAAACAAACTATTATAAACTAGAGTTGAAAGCCAAGAAGCAGACGAAGGGTTMATTTTAGCTTCAACAAATGGTGGCAAATGACAGTTCAAAACTTTTCTGAAGTTAAAATACTTGTCTGGAATATTTGTCAGAAGAAATGTCTGAGAACCACTCAAGCCAAAGTACATTTTTGAGTTTTAATTTGTGCTTTAACTGCCTCCATCTTCCCATTACCCTGTGACTTATTCTGTGTGCCAACATTTGTATTAGATGTGCCATCATCAATGTGGGCTCATTKCAGGCCATTATTCATAAAGTAACAAAAAATAACAACTGTGGTATATATTTTTTATATTTTTTCTAAATATTTAATTTGTTTAAGTAATGGGGCAGATTTCCTCAATCCATTTTTTATCTTCTTTTTCTACTGCTTGTAATTTAGTCCAAGAATTTCACCTAATTTAGAAAAAGCAGCAATCAAACAGCAGTTTAGAACCAGATGAGAATCTCAGAGAAGCTGTAGTGATATAAAATGATAAGAAAATTTGGTCAGTGTAGCACCAAAATTTCATATTAGACTAAATGCTCAGTAAAACATWACTAAAGACCCCAGTATTGTTGACTATATGGGTTTATTTTAGACACCTCATTCAGGTAACGTGTCAAGGAGTCCCCTAAAGCTCATACAACAGCTCACTAAAGCCACACAAAGTAAATCTTTAATCAGACAGGGTAGAAGAAATGAACAGGAGGGGTGATAACAAGACAAACACAAAAGATTCCTCTCTGACACCACAAAGCAAAACTCTATTTGCACCCTTTGTAARGCCAGAACAGTGGAGGACTGACAAAAATATACAGGCACAAAAACAGAAAAAAAAAACATACAAGGGAAAAAGCCTAAAAAAAGAAAATGATATGTAAGAGTTGTATACTCTTATGCAGTTAAGAGTTTTCTTACCAATTTGTCTCTCCAAGTCAGCTGCCTCATCAGGGGTGGCCCTTGGTAGCACCCCAGGGTCACTGAAACTGGTTCTCAATAGAGTCCCGAGTACAAACAGAAACAGCGCACCTCCTACAACTGGGATGATCGGCGTCAGCTGCAGTGCCAGGAACGGACAACTGGTGAGATGGGGGAAAAAAAAGATGATAAGTAAAAGGTAAAAAGCATACCAAAATGTATGKTTTTGTCAGCTACAGGTTTAAGGCAGAAATATTTTATTTTTAGCATTAAAGCATAACTCAGTAAATTTGATGCCTGTTTACACAGATGGGTGTCAAAATTCAGAACCCAGTAGCACCTTTAACCTGCAACTTAATGATCACCGAATGAACTCAACAGGCATACGATTAAAGGTTCCCCAGTTTTAATTAGATTATTTCACATAATCTCATTAAATATTCAAGTATGCAGCTCTAATCCCATTTAGTCTTACACAGGTGGGGCATATCCTGCTGTATTCCATTTCATTTAGGACTCTCTGGTTTAAAGTGGTAGTCAGCAAAGAGAGAGACCGTTGTGACCAAAAGCAGCTAAATCAACATGCAGTGAGTGCATGCTATGACAGATGCTATGGATGAATGCAACAAAGAAAGGGGAGTTTAGTGACGGTTTTCAKTAATAATGACATTCATATAAGATGACTTATTTATTTGGTGATTTAACTTGTGTCAAATACACAAATTCAATAAATTACATCTCATGGACTGTTTGTTTTAGCGTTAATTTGTATTAAATGCAGTCCTAAAACAACTTTCATTCAATMAATTTATGGAACTGACACTAAAATGTGCATATTCTATTTGGGTTTCTCCATAAATCCTCTCAACATCAAACACTACATCGCTATCACACCAACTCACTGGCCTTCAGATTTAACCAAGGGCAACTATACCTGACACTAATACTAAAAAACAGCCCAAACTTTATGTAGGCTTCTTGTGAGAGTTTTGCCCATGACAGTGTTTAGAGGGGATGTAAATTTAAACCTAGAGCTTTTATTTAGATCTGTAGATTGATAGAAAGCAATCTTACAGCTTAATCAAAAGTCCTTTTAAAGGTTTTAAAAAAAGGATGGAAACACAATGACTAAATCCTGTCTCTTGATGGTGTAAAACTAGATGGAACAGGGCAGCAGCTTGATTTTTTTTAAACTGATGCTATTTTTCCATAATTAGGACTGTATGAGAATACAGTCTGATGACAGTTTTTACCTAATGCATGTTGAAGCCTATTGTCCTTTTTGTACAACAGGATCAGTTTAAAACTGCTTTATAACTTGATTATGTCGACACCTTAGTGACTTACGGCATGCTTGTTTCAAAAAGCTACAGGTGTTAAACATCATGTTGGACAAACCGAGGCTACTTTCCTTTGAACAGGATCTGAACAACACCCTCATTTACGCAAAGCACTCAGTTTTCCTCCTTCACCTCTGTCTGCCCTTCAGTCTAGCCATGAGCTGCATGTATAAACACTTTCTCAGAGGTTTTCTACACGAGCAAAGCCAGGTTAAAAAAAGGCACCATCTGAAGTTAATTTATCTGGCTATATTATGTTACTAAACAAGATTTCTGCTGGTCCACACATCTGTCACAAGTCATCTCGCAGCTGTTTGCATGTCGGTATTCTTACAACAATTTTGGCTAAAGATACAGCAGGAGATGATAACTGTGAGATTTAGTAGTAGTAGCCAAAAAAACAGATTAAATCAAATGAATAGCTAAAGTACAAAGTGTAGYAACACGGATAAGGGCAGCACAAGAAATATCTCAGAAGACACAGAAGGGCCAAAAATMAGGCATGCGAGTGTGTGCCAAAGACAACAATATTTCCACAATCACTTTCAGGGCTTAAAGCCGGGCTATCATGGTACTCCCTCAGGGCTTTCAGCCAGCAAATTTCCTTGGGCCAGAGGGCTAACTTTGGTTTTAGGCAGTCTCCTTGTGAAAAGCAGAATTTATATCTGGGAGTTGAGATGTGGAGACCTGGTGCGTGAGAAAAAGTTTCAGAAGCTCACTGTTAAGCCATTTTGAGAAATGCTACTGCACTGGAAACTATGTGCCTTTGTCTCTGAGGATGCTATTAGCTTGGCTGAGAATTTAGAAAGAAATAACGTCAAAAAGCGAGAACAGAGTCTGCTGTAATGATGAGAAGTGATAAAGCACAATAGGATAGAYTTTTAAGATGATGAGGATTATAAATAATTCCAAAAACATATATTATAAACATTTGTTGACATATTCTTGTACTTTGACTTGTCACTGCTCCAAAATGTCAAAATTATYCTTTTCAGACTTCACTAAACCCTGTTCATCTGAAAAAAAAAAAAAAGAAAAAAAAATCATGCATCACAGTTACCATATCATGGCAGACTCAATGCTTGCCACTTCCATCACATCAACTTCTGCACCAAAGGTCTAGCTGTTACAAATGACAAGTCCCACGTGAAGAGCTGGAAACACTTTGCTCCATTTTTCAGAGGGGAAACAATAAAAAAGAAAAAAAAATACTAGCAGATTTTTGACCATTTAGGCTTCGCTCGAGGGAAACACACACACACACACACACACACACACACACACACCCCCGTGGGGACCGTGCATCGACTTCCATTCATTTATTTAGACTTTAGCCTAACCCTGACCATTTACCCTAAAACTAGATACCACATAGCGGTAACATAATGACCCCCGCACATACAAATGCAGAAGAACTCAGAAGTCTTTATTCCTAATAAATGTCACGC